ATTTGGGGTTCTCTGTGAGAAGTGTATAAATTTATAATTTTATTATGTTTTTAAAATTGGGAAAAATGGAAATGTATGGAAAGTAAGAACCTACGTACATCAAATTGTGTTTAAATTAAGTGGCGGCAGAAGAATTATCGTTATTATATTATTAATGCAATACTTAAATACAGCGATCAATTTTGAGTTCTTCTATAGTTTATTGTTGCCTACACTATATACTCCTCTCTACCTATTGTGATGAAGGCCCAATCAAGTGCCCTCCTTAGAAACTAGTTTAAATGCCGCTCGATAGAGCGGCTTTTAAGCTAGTATTTAATATGTGTTAGAAGCGTATAAATTGTCAGTGGTTTATCGCCAAAAGATCAGTTGTATAGCTGAGTGTAAAGAACTCATTAAGAAATAAACTGGAGCAGGAGGTAATTTTAGAAATGCTTCAAAATGTGTCTCGCAACGCTAAGGATATGTTTGAAATTTGCAGTGATATGTTAAAAAATTTCAGTAAAGTTTTGAAGCAAGATTTATAAATCAATTATTTTTTTTTATCATAATTACATAATATGATGAGAATCGGTTTCACAGAGCAGGGGTTCGCGGGAAGCTGTTCCAGTGGAACATCTCCGCAATGGGATTTGAATTGTTCGCTACAGTGTGAGCGGTATGGCGGGTCCTGGCTGTGAAGCTTAGAATGGGCGGAGCTAAGATATGTAGTTCGTCCGAGCACTTTCCATGGAAGTTGCGATCAAGCAGTGAGAGGCTTACCAACTCCCTTGTGTTAAAAAGGGGTTGCAGGTTGGAAAATAATTTATCACCCACAAGAACGCGGAGACGTTTTAGGGCTCTGTGTTAGGAGTGTATAAATTTATAACTTTATAATTTTTTTTTTTAATTTTTAATAAGGAATACACTAGAACGCATCTTTGTTGATTCCATGCGGTTTCATAAAAAACTGGTTTATCGCTAAAGGATCAATAGTATAGCTGGGTGTAGAGAGCGAATCCAGTCTGCAGTTCAGGAGATAATTCCTGAAATGCTTCAAAAGTGTTTCCCAACGCTAAGGATAGATTTGAAATTTGTGGGGTTATGTTGAAAATTTTCATTAAATTTTTGACGCAAGATTTATAAATTTATTTTGTTTTCTTTTCATCATGATTACGTAATATACATAAAATTCTGCCATATTTTTTTTTTCTTTAATTTCCCCCAGTTCGTTGAAATAGTTAATTCTGGACGTCCTGAATGCAAAGGTCTGGCTGTCTGTGCATGCGGGGCTTTTATAATGTCATTGAAACAGCTCTAAAGAATACAGATTCAAGACTTCATTGACTTTTCTCATCGTTCGGCCGTCTCTTGATCACCGCAGATTCAAGTAGTAATCAGAGAGACCGCCAAACCGCTTAGGGGTTGCCCTCATAAGCGTTCTGAATTGCTAACTGGCGAAGTCTTTACGCCTGTCATTATTTTAAGTGATTTTATCAAGGCTTCGAAATTAAACGAAATGCGGCAATCAACCTATTCCGTCAAACCCCGAAGCATTCCTACCGAATGTCCTTAATTCAGGAAAACGTATTTAAGCTTGCGCGTTCGCAGATAAAAAGCGAAATAGAAATAAAGATATTTCTGAAACGATTTATATATATATATATATATATATATATATATATATATATATATATATATATATAGATAGATAGATAGATAGATAGATAGATATAAAATGTTTGCAATTTGGGTTTTACGAATTCCAGATTTGCTTGGAGCTGGGCGATCTTGTTTCTTTGCATTTTCCTCTTCACTTCGCACTAATGACCTTAGAAAAGGGAAAAACAATCTCTTCTCTCTCCAGATAGATAGATAGATATAAAATGTTTGCAATTTGGGTTTTACGAATTCCAGATTTGCTTAGAGCTGGGCGATCTTGTTTCTTTTCATTTTCCTCTTCACTTCGCACAAATGACCTTAGAAAAGGGAAAAACAATCTCTTCTCTCTCCAGCTTTGAAGCAAAAGCAATGTAGACGAAGCTCCCGAGCAATGTGTGACAGCCAGTCTAGGCGAGGTTCATTTCGGGGCATTACTTAAATAGACAGTTCCACTCGTAAAATATGGTGTCAAATTTTCCGGGTAATTATTTTAGTAAATTTGCATACATTAGACCTTCCTTAAGCCTGGCGTCTTGTGAGAATAAAAAAAAATATTGATATTTTATCCAGCTAGAAAGAGGGGGAGTTCGTAATATCGATGGAATGCAAAATCGATACCTGACGTACTAAACTATCAAGTTTCCATAGCTCATAACTCATTACTTGGAAATGTCAAGTCTGGACGTCTGCTAACATCATTAATATCTATGGGAGAAAATATTTTTGTTTATTTTACAAAAGCATTTCACTTAAATAAAGAACAAACGGATATATACATATTTTATTGAACATATATATATATATATATATATATATATATATATATATATATATATATATATATATATATGTGTGTGTGTGTGTGTGTGTGTGTGTGTGTGTGTGTGTGTGTGTGTGTGTGTGTGTGTGTGAATATATAGAAAATAGGAAAGAACTCGTTAGGTAAATAATCCAAAGTTCTTTAGTATTTTTGTTATTATTTTTAAAAATAGTGCTCGATACAAAAAGTAGAGCATAAATATAATTATTTATTTAAAATATGATTCCAACACGCTACATAAGAGTTCTCATGTTTCAAAACAAGAGCCGAAAACTTCAATATAAATATTTGAATTAAATTGAATTAAAGTAAGCTCTGTTCCATCTTCAAGCGAAATTTTTTTTAGAATAACTTATTTCTGAAATTTACGTGTTTTAATAGCATATTCATTATTGAAATCAAAATTTCTATGGTAACGGCTAGAGCGATTGTTTAAATAAACACTGGTGTACGGTGTTAATAATTTGTATCAGTATAAAGTTACATTCACAGATGTCAAGTCAGGGTAAGGTTGGGGTGTCTAAATTTAAAACGAAGATGATTTCGCCTAGTCTTGTTTACGTGTCTATGGAGATTTATTTATTTTTTTATTTTATTTTTTTTCTGAAAGGGTTTTGTGTATATAAAAACTGCCGTAACATTGTTTTTTGACGACTTCATAAAGGGTCATCTTTTTTTGTAGGGTATTTAAACTATTTATTAGGACTATGGATTTTAAAAATTATTTTATTGTTTGTTTTTATGCTCATTATTCAATGCAAAAATTTGATGATGTCAGCAAAAAACCGTTAACTCATGTCTATTGTTTAATAGATTTTTATTATTTAGAAACTTAATAATGTGTAGCTTTTCATGTAGGCATAAAGGGCATGGGCCATCCCAAGTTTTACAAGTTCTGTAATCCATAGTCCTAATAAATAGTGTAAATGCCCTACAAAAAAAGATAACCCTTTATGAAGTCGTCAAAAAACAAATGTTACGGCAGTAATTTTATTAACACCTTACACCCCTTTTTATTTAAACAATTGCTCTAGATGTTACCATAGAAATTTTGATTTCAATAATGAATATGCTATTAAATATTAAGAAGCAGACAACTTTCAGGCTTCATGGTGATTATAATTTCGTAGAATCGAAATTAGATTCTAATTCCCCAGATCAAAATTTTCAGACCAAAAATGAAAAGTTGATCTCAGAAATTAGAACCGAAGTTCGATTCTAGAGGAAATAAATTCTAATCACAATGAATCCTTAAAGTTGTCTGTTTTTTTAAGATAATTAATAGTTGCTCTGTTATGACATTGATCTCTCTGGATTATAACATCCCTGGAATTATCCATACATATTACCAAACACACACACACACACACACACACACACACATATATATATATATATATATATATATATATATATATATATATATATATATATATTCGAAAGAAAATATTTTTAATTAATGCATGAACAAATATGTATATATTTTTCTGTTTATGAAGCCTTCGGTGGTAGCCTTTCTTAGCTAGTGTTCAAGACAACGGGAAAACATTCCACTATAATTCTTAAGAAGAGATGAAATTTCGCAAACAATAAAGAAAAGGAAAATGTGGAGAGCCATGATCGCCGTCGTAGAGAAAGGGGAAAGGCTGATTTGAATTCCAATCCGTAGAAAAAGCAACGGATAACCACTCCACTGTCTTTCTCAAGAAGATATTCCCAGATAATTAACAAAAAAGATTTTTTGGAGAGCCATGATCGGCTTGGTCGGGAAGAGAGAAAGATTGGCTTGAAATCCAACTCGTAGAGAAGGCAACTGAAAATTGCTTCACTATCTTTCCCAAGTAGACATGGCAATTCACAGATAATAAACAAAAGAGATCTGTGGAGAGCCATGATCGCCTTCGTCGGGAAGTGAGAAAGAAGGATTTGAATTTCAACCCGTAGAGATAGCAACAGGAAATCACTTCACTATCCTTCCCAAGAAACATGGCAATTCACAGATAACAAAGAAAAGGAATATGTTGAGAGTCATGATCGTATTCGTCGTGAACGGATATACCGTTTTTTTTTAAGAAAAAGAAAATGTCTGCACCTTTTGTTAGTGATTCTTGTCTATGAATTAAAGGCATGAACTCATCTTCTAGTTATGTGTTAAACAGCAGGTCAGAATGAACTTTACGGCCTTGCATGGCATGTAATATAACAGAAGGAAATATCTGAATTTCATGGAGAAGACAGCGGATAACCATTCCTCTTTCGCCAAGACAACATTATAGTTCATAAATAATAAAGAAATATACGTGGAGCATCGCGATTGATTTGTTCCTGAATGGACATTATATTTTTTTTTTTAAGTGATGTGGCTGGAAGGTCTTTATACCTCCTGCATATCCAAACTTACAACACCTGGGGTTTCCGAGCGATCACCCATCTAGTAACTGGCCAGAGTCGACATTGCTTAACTTTGGTGATCGTACAGGAAGTAGTGTTATCAAAATAATGTGACGATAAGCATTTTATACCACCTGCATATCTAAACTTACAACACCTAGGATTCCCGAGCGGTCACTCATCTACTAACTGACCGGGCTTGACTTTGCTTAACTTCGGTGATCGTACGAGAAAAGGCGTTTCAACTTGATGTGGCCATAAACCTGCTAGAGTTGATGTCTTATTAAGTATTCTTATTATTCCGCCAATTGTTCAGTGGGGTAAGTTTTTAGCATCTCGCTACCACCTTTTTTTTTTATCAATATCAATTTTTAGTACAAAAAGTGGATCACAGAGCTTATTCAGCTTAAATAATATATATATAATAAATATATTCAGAAAACCTCAACTTCTGGTTGGTCATTTAATATTTAAAGTTCCTTAACAAGATTTCAGCCTGAAGACACACTCACACACGCAGCAATATTTTATAACGAACAATCAACTCAAGTTTTCCCTATTCAACTTGATACACGAATCTTTGTGATATGCTTTCAAGCTCAACGTTCATTATTACAGTTAACATGGCCCGGCGTTGCCCGTGCATGATTCAAAAATCGTACGACTCATACAGCAATCGCTATCACTTGACTTCAAATATTTTTGCCCTTCCTTGCCTTTAAAGGAGTACCCTTTGCCGTGTTGATGTTGCTACATGCCTTACTTCTTGCTTATCTCACACTGCAAATTTTTTCTAAGCTCTATACTAAACATTAAATCTGTTACGAAAAAAGAACTAAATAAAATGAACACAAAACGATCAGCTTTAAAAAAGGACTCGTAACTGGAAAAACCGAATGAAAAAAGAATGTTAACAACAAATACTTTTTCACATTCAACCCAGTTCTGTGGAATCAGAATCAACGTTGAGTTTAAGCAAACGAATAAGCCAATTAGAGTAAAGTGCCATGTAGATTTAAATTTTCCCCACTCGTGACGAAAGCAGCTATCGATTTTTTTTTGCATGCTAGCATGCTAGTTAACATTCGTGTCAATCAGCTGTTGGCTCTCACGCTGGCCAATACAGACTTCCTGCCTATTTGTGGAGCCAGCTGTAGGCTCTCACTCTGGCCAGTACAAAATGACCGTAAACTACATGAAAACTGCCGTAGAAGCATGAAAAAATCGTTTATTTCCACTATCGATGGGAGTTGGGAAATGCAAAGTCGGTCTTGGACTTCCCGCCAAGTTGGAGCATGTGCATGTAAACTTTGGTGCAATTCCGTCGAAAATTGCAGCCGTGCATTCGTTACACACACACACACACACACATCCTGCCCTTTATAGATAGAGATAAACGCAGCTTGTTAAGAACCACTTACTCCAACTGCAGAATATTCTCTTCAAGCGACAAGTGAAAGCAAATCAAAGAGCGACAATTGCATAAACCTTAAAGTAAATTGTGACCAATATTTCTCTACTTTAAGTACAAACATGAACTGTTTATTTTTTCTTAAATTACAATAATACCCAAACACATTTCTCATCATTTTACAGACCATTCAACAACTTATAATCTATGAAACCAGAACTTTGACATTTTAATCTAAACATAGAAGGACTTTTGAAATTTTTAAAACTACCTCTTTATTCCAGTTGTTTATATAAATATTTTATTCATTGTTATGCAAAAACTGTTGTTTCTCATGTTTGTTCTTAGTCAATGTTTGTTGAATACTGAAATTTTTATGTGAGAAGAGATTGTTAATTTTATCTCGCAGCCTATTTACTCAACAATTATTGATCCATATAATTTAATCAATTAACACAATCTACACAAGCTCATCTCGACGGATTTCGATTAACTGCTACTTGAACGATCGAATTATATTCGAACGGACCAACTTGTGATATGAAATCAGATATTGTCAAAAATTCACAAAGCTGATTTCTCCCGTTAGAAAAAGAGCCAGGTCCCGACGAATTCACGTTCATAAATCTTGTATGGCAAGGTATTTCTCATGACTAATGACCCGGCCGGGGGCAATTTAACCCCGAGAAATATCGATCACGCGTTACTCCAAACGCAGACCATTTAGCACGCCGACGCCAACCCCTGCCGTACGGAATACGGCGCCTCATTAGAAAGACAACAACATCCGTGGCGCTTTTAACAGGCGAAATCAGCCCATTCTAGCGGCCAGTCGGCTAGCAGATGTCCAGAGTTGACTCTCTGGAATAATTCGTTGGTGAGTGAATAAGTTATAGGACGGGTTATACGGCCCTGGACGAAACGAAAAAAAAACAAAAAAAACAAAAAAAAAAAAAACATTTTGCGTATTGATCAAAGGTTTGGCTCCAAGTCAATCTGATATTTTCTGAAACTTGATTCCAGCCTTGTCGAGAAAAATGGCACAAAGAAGAGCCAACCATTGACAACAAATCATGCTTGCAAATGATTAACCGTTTGGTTGTGAATAAATTTAGACGGGGCGCCAACAATAACGGGAAAAATATGAAGTTGAACTGACGCTTCGACCAGCAGAAAGGTCTTAGCAAGATTCTTACGCACATAGTTACTTCTGTAATAAGTCAAAAACTTCAATGTTTCGGCCTTGTGCCAGACTAATTTAAAGTTAGTAAACCTCCATAGATATTCAGCATGAAATATAAACCAATTAAAGCATAAGACTAAGTTACGTTTAGAAAAATAAGGTAGGCGCCCTACCGTGGAGTATTCGATATAAAACATATTTTGTCGATAGTTACTACAGTAGAGAGGAAGTTTTTAACTCAGAGCTCCATATTGATGTGATTTTCCTGAAATAAGCCATCTTTCGGAAATTCGAATCATGCGTTTGAGTCGGGTAATGTTTGACGAGTTAGGAACATTTTCCCTCACTAGGTGCATCGCCAATTTAAGCGTGATTTATTTAGTGGATACTCATATTTCAGTAGACGCCCCGTTTATTTATTAAACATTATATTTATCTATTTTCGTCTATTTTTGCATGAATATTCGAGAAATCTTGTTAAAGAAATTATGCGCTCACCGACAGGATTCGAACCTGCGTCTACCTGTGCAAAAAAAAAAAAAGAAAAAAAGTTCATTAGGCTTGACGAGCTCTAATCACCTGGGCTACGAAGAATGTCCTTAAGCGAAAATCTTCTCGTCATATATACATATATATATATATATATATATTCATGCATATTTAATAACATTATCATTAAACGAAGAAAGAAATTCGCAATATTGATCCATATTTTTTAATCCAATCTAAGCTTTCGGCTTACATAAGCCATTATCAAAGATGACAATTACTGTACACATATTAAGCAATACACGGACAAGACAATGATGATAGTCTGTGATTGTTTACATGGATGATTTCCTAGCAACGATAAACACGTGCATATAAGACGCTAGAAGCGAAAATCGCACCGCAGCTCATGACCACGCGAGAGTCAATTCGAGAAGTATTAAGTATGGGAAGCCGTTGGTATAAACCAATAGCTTTTGTTACCAATGATAGACACTTAAGAATATTTGTATAGATTCCATAGTTGATTTTGTTTAGGCTGGGTTTCAACTGTTTGATATTGGATTAAAAAATATGGATCAATATTGTGATTTTCTTTCTTCGTTTAATGGTAATGTTATTAAGCTTATCAGACGTTATGAATAGAATTTACATCAAATAAATAGACACTTGTCTATATTATTTAATGTAACATGTATGAATGAAAAAATGCTGCTTAAATACGCACAATATATATATATATTTAATTTTATCATATAGACAAAACCATTTTACTCATTACAAAGAATGTTTTTTTCTATATGATAAAATTCTAATAAAGAATAATTATCGCTTTACTATCGGTATCGATCCCTCTTTTGGATTAATGCTGTTAACGTTGGAATTTATATATTACTTTCGTTCTCATCGCATCGGGTATATATATATATATATATATATATATATATATATATATATATATATATATATATATATATATATATATATATATATATATATATATGCTGTCCATAAAGTTCGGTTGCACTTCTAACGATTATAACTTTAAAGTGCACACGAACTTTATGGACACCCTGTATATATAAGTAAATATGAAAAAGGTAAAAAATTTCTAAAGTATGGATTTTTATGTATTAATCCGACAAATTTTATCAATTTAAGCGTTATCTATATTGTCGATACTCATATTTGAGTAGATGCTTCGTTTATTTATTAAACAATATATTTATTTATTTTGGTTTACAGAACGGAATAAAGGAAAAATTCTTAACGAAAAATCTGCGTTCTTTGACAGGATTCGAACCTGCGTCTCCATGGGCAGAAGTAAGCGTCGTTAGGCCCGACGTGCTCTAATGGCGTGATCTACGAAGAACTTTTGCCGGACAAACCATACCGAATGGTGCCCTTAAGCGAAATCCTTCTCGTCATAGCCTCTGGAAACATCTTTAGTTGAATAATATCGACAGGTTCTGCCTATCCAAAAAGGCGCTATTTCAAGTCTGGGGATAGGGAATGTAGATAAACTCCAATGGCACCTATTAGCATCTGAAGCGAAACTCAGCGAAGAAAGAAAGACATTTTTCCTTGCAGATTGACCCCAGATTGGATTGAAATCAGGAAAGATTCCTAGTCACTCAATAGTACTTTGATTTTCTCACTGATAAGGCTTGCCATTGTGCCGTCTTACAATATTCTCCCGTTTACTTTTACTAACGTCCATCGTGGACAATGACCGTAAGACAACTAATCGACAGTCGAGACAATAGTGTCTGGGTGTCATAAAAATCTGATGCCATCACGGATGACACAATATTTTTCAAGGCCAAACAAATTTCATTATACACCCCGAAAATAGATTCATATTACTTCACACCACTGCAAATGACCTAATCTGAGGAAAAAATAGAAATCGATTACACCCTGTCACTCCAGTGGATCTAAAACTGACCGTATGGTGAAAGAAAGGAAACTAAAACGGTTGTTTCAATTAATTTGCCCAAAGTAAAATAGCAAGGCAGATTAGACGTTCTAGGGTGGTTGGCAAAACAGAATGACATGCCAGAATTCAAAACTGGTAGATCGTGTGACATGCCTTAACTGGGAGGAGGAAAGATGTCTGCATGCCTTACCCAATTTTTAGCAAATAATAATGACCTACTGACACGCGTTTCACTAATAAACCCATAGCTGGGGAAAGAAGTGGATTTGTACTTTTCACAAGGGTATTTGCACATAAGTGAACCCGACTTGAACTGGAACATAGATCTCCAATTTTCAGTTCCAAGCCGTTATCCAGTACACCACCGATACATCCTAGCTTACAGCACCTGCTATTCTCTAGCGGTCACCCATCTAGAAAGGCTAGGCATTGCTTAACCTCGGTGATCATAGAAGAACCGATCTGACCGTAAGCTTCTTTTTCTATATTGGCGCGATGACTGACAAAGTAGTGTTTTTTTTGTTTTGAATTTTATTATACGTTGAAATTTCGGCAGATTGTTGTAATTCCACGTGTCATATCTTTATTGCATTTCTTCAGTTCTGGGTATGACGATAAATTACATCCGGCAGCGATTCTCTAAGTTTTTTTAGGTATTGAACAAAGACACAACTCATGAAGACACTTTTGGGATTACTCAACGAACACTTTTATCCAATGGGCCAACATGTCACCTGAAGAATGATGGTTGGTTGGTTGATTTTGTTTAGCGGCATATCAACAACTCTATGGGTTATTTAATGCCGAAATCTAAATATTTTGAATGCAATTATATGCTGTCAACTACAAATAAAATTTATTGTTGCCCATTCTACCATAAAATGTATTATTGGTAATTCAACAATAATATATATTGTTGATAATTCTGCTATAAAATATATTGCTGGACATTTTGCGTTAAAAATATTTTGTTAGTCATTTTGCTATAAATACATACTACTGTTTATTTTTCAACGAATAGGTATAGTTGGCAATTTTATTATTAACAGCTATTGTTGGTAATTTAGCGGAAGAATGCTGGTTGGTTAGTTGATTTGCTTTAGAGGCAAATCAAAACCTCTATGGGTTATTTAATGAGGAAATCTAAATATTTTGAACACCATTTTATGGCTTCATCTAAATATATTTTGAACGCAATTATATGCCGTCAACTACAAATAAAATTTATTGTTGGCCATTTTACTATAAAAATGTATTGTTAGTAGTTCTACTATAAAAATGTATTATTGGTAATTCTCCAGTAATATATATTGTTGATAATTCTACTAAAAATATATTGCTGGACATTTTGCGTTAAAAATATTTTCTTAGTCATTTTGCTATAAATAGATATTACTAGTTATTTTGCAACGAATAGGTATTGTTGGTAATTTTATTGTTAACAGCTATTGTTGGTAAATTAGCTATAAATAGTTATTGCTGGTAATTTAGCTATAAGTAAGTTTTGTTAGTAACTTTGTTATAAAAATGTATCATTAGTCTTTAAGTATTTTGTTTTCATTTAGATTTTTACTATTTGCCTTTGTCTGCAACCCTAACAGGTACAACCACCCCGGGTCAAGTTTGACCTGCGAACAACAGCAATTAAGATCTGCTCCTCAAAATCTCTAATCTCCCTATCATTGCTTCGGGTTGTAATTTATCGTCATGCCCATGATAAAAAAAAAGGCCGGGGCGTACAACGATTAAAACGCCGTGAATATGGCAATAAAGATGAAGACAATAGTCCGAACAATGTAAATATTGCACATAGTTACAATACCGCGACTCATAACTACAGACAGATCCTGAAGAAGGCCGGAGTGTATAACGGCCAAAATATCGTGAATACGAAAACAAAGATGAGGACAACAGTCCGAGCAATGTAAATAGTGCAGATAGTAACAATACCTAATCATATAAATTTAGACAGATCCTGAAGAAGTCCGGAGCGTACAACTGCTAAAACGTCGTTAATATGACAACAAAGATGATGACAACAGTCCGACGGATGTAAAAAGGGTAAATAGTTAAAATATCTCATCTCAGAAATATGGACAGATCCTGAAAAAAGCCGAAAGATGTAAATAGTGTAAACCTCATTTGAGAAATATAGAGAG